AATGGTGGTCATGGGAATGGTTCTGAGGGCTTTAAAATGAGAGTGCACCAGGAGCTCTCTTTCTCTCTGCTCCTCCATTTTCTACCATGTGAGACCCCTGCACTGCTGTAAAGACACCACCAGAGAAGACCCTCACCAGGTGTGTTCCCTGGAATTTGGACTTCCCAGCCTCCAAAACTTTAAGGAACAAAATTTCGTTTTCTTACAAATCACATAGTTTCCGGTATTGATAAGCAACAGAAACAGACTAATGCACATGGTGAGAATGGTCTGAGCAAGAGAGAGTTAACCTTCTCATTTGTTCTTCTTTTAAAGCCATCAGAACAAGCCCATGACAACCCATTAAACCATCAACCCATTATTCCTCGAATAGATCAATCCATTCGCTATGGCACAATCCTCACAATCTAATCACCTCTTAAAAGTCCCACCTTTCAAATACCATAAATGGATTTCCCACCCTCTTAACACCGTTACAATGGGATTTTCCACCCACCTAGCACTGTTGCAATGGGGATCAAGCTTCAGTGAGTTTTGGGGGAACATTCAATCCACTGCACCCAGGTATTGAAGAAATGGTCATACAGCTTCCTTTGTGGCTGGGGGCACAGCGTGAAGGATGTGGTTCCTGCTCAGGAAAATGTAGGGTCTAGACCAGCATTTCTCTCAACTTGGACCATCTGCATCAAAATTAGCTGCAAGCTTGTTAAACAGATTTCAGGGCCCATCCAGGACCTAAGAAGTCAGACCCTTCAGATCTGCATTTTTACTTGGGATCTGCATTTTCGACAAGCAGTATTTTCATTAGAGAGACATCCCCTGAAACGGCCTTCGGTTCCACAACTCCATTCCCACTGTTTTACACTTGCCTGGTCATTCCGAAAAGCTGAAAACCAGAGCAAAGTTAAATGAAAGAAAAGTTAAGATGTTAAGAACAAAAAAGCCTATGAAGAACACTGAGACTATAAAAAACCTTCCCAAACGGCAGGCGTCGTATGCAAGAGACCTCATGTTTAAGATAATTACTCCTAACCTAAGAGGAACCGAGAACCTAGATCCCCGAATAGATTGCAGTTTTAATACATGGAATCCCTGCAGCATGTTTTTCTGTATGTTTTTTAATGCTATTTCAGGTGTTTACCCCAGGACCCGTGGAGGAGACCATTTAGACTTGGGAGCCAGTGGTGACTCGGGCAGGGACATGGCCTTGCGGACGTCTGTCCCGGTCCCTTTTCTACCGGCCCCGACGCCCCGCGCTCTTCCCTGCGTCCAGCCTCACTCCGCCCCCTTGTCCCCTTCCCTTCCCACACCCCGCCGGGTCCCAGGTCACCTCCGTGGGAGGCTTCCAGGGAGGCCACCGTGAGGAGGCACTGGCCTGGGCAATCAGGGAGCGGAGGGCCCCGGGCTCGGGACCAGGTGCGGTGGCAGCTCCCACCCTGCAGAACCCTGGCGCGGGGCGTATCCTGAGGTTCCGTCTCCGAACCTCATCCCGCAGAAGCCGGGTGGTTCCCGGGGCCCCCGCACGCGCACGCGCCGCCGGAA